GGTGTGCCCGCAGTGCCAGGTGTCCCCAGGCAGAGCGGGAGGATGTTGAGGGGGGGGACAGGGACAGAACGGGGTCAGGGCTGGGACGGGGACAGGGCCAGGATGGGATGGGGACGGGGACAGGGCCAGGATGGGATGGGGACAGGGACAGGGCCAGGATGGGATGGGGACGGGGACAGGGCCAGGATGGGATGGGGACAGGGACAGGGCCAGGATGGGATGGGGACGGGGACAAGAACAGGATGGGATGGGGACGGGGACAGGGCCAGGATGGGCCCAGCACCTTCACAAGTCCCACCCGTTGTCCCCCGCCCTGTCCCAGACCCCGCTGGCACCCGGGACACGGTGGCTTTTTTTAGCTCCGGCACGTCCCAGCCCCGTCCCACCCCCCGTCCTCCCCTCCGGTGACCCCCCGCGTCCCCCCCACTTTGGGGTGCCCCTGCCCTCGCCCCCCGGGCCGGCCGTGTCCCCCGTGGGTGACAGGGCTGTCGCTCGCCTGCCAGCGCCCAGAGCCGCAGCAGCTCGGGGCCCTCCATGTTCCGGCGCCGGCGCTGATTGACGGAGCCAGCGGGGCCGGGGGGGCCCGCGGGGGGGTCCCACAGGGGACACCCCTCCGGTGCCACCGCCCGCCACCGGGCACGGCGCTCCGCGGGGCTCCGCGTCCCGCGGACGGGCCCGGAGGTGTCCCCGGGGCGGGCTGGTCCCAGTGCTCCCACTCGTGGGGGGACATTTGGGGACACTTGGGGACAGCAGAGACCACCCCCCCCCCCCCCACCGGCACGGCCAGCAGCGAGACGGGAACACGCGTGTGCGCGCCCGGGGGCGGACACGGCGCTGCGTGGGGACGGTGACACGAGAGGAGCGCGGGTGGCAGCGACGGGGACCTGCGGGGGGGGTGGGGGGGGCGATGGCAGCGGCGGAAGGGGAGGGGAAGGGGAGGGGGAGGGGGTGGTCGTGGGGGGCCGCCCCCCCGTGTCGCGTCACGCCTCGTCACGCACAAAGGGCCGGAGGTGACACGGGTGACACGGGGAGGGGACAGTCGCACATTGCAGGGTCCTGCCGCCCACGCTGGGGACAAGGGGGGGTCCCCTGTTGTGTCCCCCCCCACGCAGGAGGGACCCCAACACGGCCACGGGGGTCGGGCCTGGCCCCCTCGCCCTCAGGCACCCAGGGGGAGGCAAAAATCACAAAAAACCCCCCAAAATCCCCCCCGGCCCTGCAGGAAGGGGGGGCCGCGCTGTCCCCGCCCGTCCGGACACCCTGGCACGGTGCCCCCCCCGCCAGCACGGACTGGCACTGCCAGGGGATGCGCCGCGCCCCCGAGGGGTTGAGGGGGATATTGGGGTCCTGTGGGGACACCGAGGGACACCCGGGGCGGGGGGGCTTGGGGGGACAAGTGGGTGAAAGTGAGGGGACACAGGGACGGGAGGGGGGACACGGGGACAGAGCCGGAAGGGGCGCA